TATAGTATATGTGACAAGGATGTCGTACATATAAAAAACTCTGAAATCCGACTTCAAATGAAAAAGTTATGCTTCTTCGAAGTTTCGCAAATAAACCGACACGACTCCGCGTATCGTAAAAAATAAATTTTTGATAGATTACTTATTAGCCTAAGTAATCTAAACAAAAATCATAGTAGTTATAAAACCGAGAGCGTGCATATAGAGAACGTTTAAATCTAACTTCGTGAGAGGAAGTTATGATATTTCGAAGTTTCAGCGCAACAGTGCGGACACATAAATCAAAATTCAAATAAGTTGATTGTTAGCCGGAATAATCTAAACGAGAATTGAAGATCTCATGAATATGAACCCGTCGATATAAAGAAAGTAGATAACGGAGTTCGTAAGAAGAAGTTATAAATTTCGCACAGACTTTAACAATCTAAACCGATCTAAATATGAATTTTAGTTAGAGCAATAATTAGATGATGAGACCCTAATGCAAGTTGTAGACCTCATCGAGAGGATTACGTGGATATAAAGAACGTCGAAAACGGAGCTCGTATGCAAAAGTTATGACCGTCCGAAGATCTGCGAGAAATGGCTGATGATGTGGCAGCGTCTGGTGATGTAGACATTGGGATTGTTGAGGAATCTAGACTATCATTAGTCATAAGGAATATCAGACTAAGACTTAGCAATAATCATACCTAGGTCACGTCAAGGGAAACGTCAAAGTGTTAAGGCGGAACGCTGCTCAAATTCTGAGGCATCCACTTTTAACAGATGAGTGCATAGTTACTTTTAGTTTTACACATAGATATGAAGTATCTACTAAATGCTATATGTGCTTACTATCTGTGTACTTGATATTTGTGCTATAATATGATATGATTTTATTTATATAAAGTACTTTACCATATTTGCATTAGGTAATGAAGTGTTTTAGGAAAGATAAAATAATGGGTTAGGTAGTAAAGGGTTTTTAGGGAAAATAAAATAATGGTGAGAGGTCACACATTGTATTACTGGGATTAGTCACCTAACAAAATATAGGTGACGATCACATACTATTTTAGGTAGTCCGGTGGAACACTACCAGGTTCGCCACCTGTATGTGTTTATGATCATACTTTTTAGGGAAAAGGAAAGTTGTTCGTTACGGTACTCTATCCCCCTCAGGGTTGCCTTGTTGACACATATTGCTACGGATTCCCCGAAGCAATATTGTCTACTCATAGAGATTCTCTAGGGTAGGTCTCTTGAGATTAGCATTAGGGATCGAAGAGTAAGAATAACGGGGATGGGTAATCAAGATTATTTGTTTATTGTGAAAAATATATAACTACAATATTGTGGGTTGAAAACCTTATGTGCTCACTAGACTCTCAAGCCTAACCCACTTAGTTTCTTTGTATCATAGGTGACAGTACAAATGTACAATCCACTGAGAGATTCTAGGAGTTTAGGCCATTAATACAATAAGTTAATGTAAGGCTTGTAATAATTTCGTTTATGTTTATGTTTTTTTATCAGTTATGACATCCTAAGTTTAGAAAAACAATGAAAAAACATTTGCTTCGGAAATACTTTTTATGGGACAAATTCCGTATTTATAAAGATCGGTCTGATTTAAAATAAGCATAAATAAAAAGGTCTTCTCGGACCGTGAAAATTTGAGGATGTCACAAAAGTTCATTGCCATTTCCTTTATACCTAACAAAGTACATTATCATTGTAACACCGCTAAATTTCATAACAAATAAAACCATATTTATTTATTCGGTTTTGAAAAAACATTTTATAATAGCGGAAATTGGTCCCAAATTAAATCTTTTTCAAAAGACGAGAACACATGTCATGGGTGTTACAACTTGTACACATAACCATATGAAACATTCACAATTTATTCACATACATTTACAAATCAACATATATAGTATGATTCTTTTTATTGTTAAGTCCTCAAAACACATCTTTTAGTTCAAAAGATCATTTCTAGTAGTCTATACAACTACTAATTCCTTTTAGTACCTGGATACATGTCTGTTAAAATAAAAAAGAATACGTAAGACTTTTATCTCATGTAATATATCATTTTTAAATAAAAAATCATTTATCATTTTTAATTCTATTTCAATTCATTTGAAATCATTTCATAAAGCATAAATTAATAAATTTACTCGCATGCATAATGCAATGTCATGTAATGCAACATGATTTCAAAGCATATAAGTTTGAGGAATTTGCATTCATGACCCCGATATATATATATATATATATATATATATATATATATATATATATATATATATATATATATATATATATATATATATATATATATATATCGGTCCCCCTAACTCCAATTATCATGTAGGATGGCTTATATCAATCCTTTATGCCCTTATTCTTCATAGAGTCGCAAGTTGACATTGCAATGACACCATCCCTTTAATGAGATGGTTGTCTAGACATATCTTCCCAGATTCGTAACATAACTGACAACGCATTGCCAACATCCCCTAAATATGATAGTTGTCTAGATATACTATCTTTTTCTAGTACTTTCACATTCATATGATGCATGAACACACTACAAGCATACCTTTTTCCATATGCATTCATTCCTACAAACAATATGCTATTTCATGATTCATGGTGTTCTTATTACAAAACATATATGAAAACATAGAAAAAAAGAGTAAAACATTTCACAAGAGTTCTTATTCAAAATCATTTAGATTCACAAAATATATCATTTTTCATTAGTCATATAACTGTGACATGTATCCAAGTAAAAGATGCATATATACTCACCTTAGTACCTAGGTATGTCTAACTATAATATTTTACTTGCCCTTTGTCTTGATCATCACCACTTACTCCTTTAATTCCTATAGATTTGATTCATTCAAGATTAACAATTCACCATCACATATGATTCAAACACATAGCAAGTTCTTACTTGTTTTTGTAACCAATTCAAAATTTTGACAACATTTTACAATATATCTTATGTTGTTGAAACTATTTTCAAGCTCTTCATCATTCCATGGCTTACTTGAATTCACCAATCCAAATACTTATCATACAACAATACAATATTCAATATCAACTATACAGACACTATCCTTAAAATCGATATCTATTATATGCAACGTTTTGCCTACATAATTGTCCTTTATGTAGAACATTCTAATAAGTATAAAATGTATAAACTTCCTGTCATTATCACACTACAAGCTTACCATTCACATCCAAATCTTCCTAACGCTTATAAAACAAGACACAGATCTAGAAAACACTAAATCCATTAGTTCTAGCACAGTGCGCAAAAGTCTTATCAATTGCATAACAATTATATACTTGATTCTTCCATGTTTAAACATATACAAATGCTTACACGAGGATCATACATATGACATTAACAGTACAAAACAAACAAAGTGAGCCATAAATACCATTCATTCAAAGGTTTTCAAACTCAAGGACCATTTATGTAAGAAATTCCTCACAAGCATTTGTGGTATATTTTTGTAAAGCACATGGACTATATGTAAAATTTTGTCTTTAATAAACAAATAAACATGAACAAGATTGTATATTTGTTTTGTTAATAAGACATTCATTAACAATGATCTCATTTGTTTATTTTTGTCTGTGGATGTTCGTTTGTGTTTGTTCATTTATGTTCATTCGTTAATCTTTGTATTTTTATGGTTGTTTATTATAGTCATAAAATTGGAAAAAAAGAATTCAAAAATTATTAAATACTATCGACCGTGTATCACAAATGATATGTAGACATCATATCATAATATTCATGGTAGTCAAATGTCACTTTGTAGATATTGGTTTTAAGCTTCACAATTTCTTATTGAGTTTTGTTCGATCTATCTACAATGTATTATTGAGTTTATATCTATGAATTTAAGTGTCTAAAAGATTGGAACATTTACATGTGTTTGTGTTTGTTCATTTATGTTCGTTTATTATTTGTTGTTTAACATCCTAATGAACAAACAAAAATGATATTTTTTAAACAAACAAACGCATTCATAAATTTGTGTTTGTTTATATGCATGCTTTTGTTTTTTTTAGAATTACAATTCGTTTGTTAATTTGGTTAAACTTAAACAAACATAAATTTTTTTGTTTGTATTCGTTTTACAGCTCTATTAATAGGTTATTATCTAAAATCCGAATTCCCAAAAGAATTTGAAAATTTTCATGATTAATTAGAAAAAAAATTAACAGAAAAACCTGAAGTTATTATTTTTAATGTGTCTTGTTGAATTAATTTATTCTAAGTATTTGACATGTAGATATATAATAATAAAACAATTAAACTAGAAAGTACTATATATTTAATTTAATTCATTCGTAAGCATGACGACGAGTAGGGTAATGTGAACAAATGTGTATGTATTAAGAATAAAAAGAAAAGGAAGTGAACAAATATTTAGAGAGAGAAAGAGTACTGGTTTAAGTTTCCGCGTAGAAGGATGAGAAGCGTTTGTTTTGTCCAGGTCTTTTCCACTCATTTCATTTTTATTATTCCAAATAATTTAAATTTAGACAAAATAAAAATAAATTTCATTTATAAATTTACAATACTTACTTTGATACAGAGTTCTACAAACATTTCAGTTAAAAACTGAACTAGATGGCAAAGCATAAAAATGTCGGCCAAGATCTCTTGTAGGCCTATTCATAGTACACCAAAATCTAAATTGATTTTACATGTAAGTTTTTTAATATTTAATATAAAAATTAAATAATGATTATTTTTTCTTACAATTATTATCCTGTAATGAGATCATAAAATAATAAAAGTATGTTATTTTATTATGAAAAATAATAATTTCTTCAGTATGATTGAAATGAAAAAAAGTTGATGCTAAAACAAATAAACAATCATCAACTTTTTTTTAATTATGTAAGAGTTGAAGATGCACTTCTTACTCCTATATAACATTATGTATTTTTTAGTGTAAAGGTCATTGGGTCATACTGTTTGACCATTTTAGCCACGTATAAAGCTTTCTACTTCTCCATCGATTCATTCTTCTTCTCTCTTTCATACGCAGGAAAGATCTTTTTCTTCCTTCCCAATTCATCTACCAAACTACCCACAGTTTTTATCTTAAAGATAAACCTTTTGCATATCTATATATCTATATATATGGACCCTAGCCACCTTCATCATATGAGTGTAAGTGTGGATTCCGGTGGCCCCAGTGGTGGTGGTGGCGGCGGTGGCGGTGATAGGTTTCCACAATGGAGCGTACAAGAAACAAGGGATTTCTTGATGATAAGAGCGGAGCTGGATCCGACGTTCATGGAGACAAAACGCAATAAGCTTCTATGGGAAGTTATCTCTACAAAGATGAAGGAGAGGGGGTATAATCGCAGTGCTGAACAGTGCAAATGTAAATGGAAGAATCTTGTTACACGTTATAAGGTATGTAATATGTATATATATTATATAAGGTGTGTGTTTTTAATTAGACTTCTCTTTTCGTTGTTTCTGGAAGTATGTGAAGATGAGAAAGCAACGTACGTTCATGAATCTTCTATCTTATGTCATGAGATTATCCCATAATTTATAAGCATGGGATTCAAAGTCACAAACCGTGGAATTAGACAAAATCTTCATTTTTCTCATATTCATACACAAAAAGGAAGAACTTAATCATATTAATCATCATAAAAGAAACACAAAACTATAGATGTTATGTTTTGAATTTTGTAGTAGCAAATAGATGAAAAGTAATTTAGAGTTTTCACAACGCGTGCGTTGAAGGGAAAGCCCTTGATCACATACATATGTTTTAATCTGCAAGGAAAATTTTATGATTCTTTGTCGATAAGAAAACTCTGTTGTATGTGTATACTAGCTAGTCTTAGGTTAAAAGAGGATATGTTAGAATTTAGAAACAATCTTAAATGGACAAGGCATGTGCCGATTTTGTTCTGATGGCTTAATTAGTTTCGTGGACAAAATAAATACATGTCTTGATTGAGCATCTACAATTTACAATTTTGATTTTAATGGAAGAATCTAATGACCTGCTAAATCTAGTTGTTAATGGATGAAACTCTATCATTATTAGATGCCGTTTTACCATTCAATGGTTTTTAAGTTCAATAGCTATTGAACTCTTCAATGGAAAAAAGAAAAGTTTTCTATTTCTTAAATAAATATTGTGAATTAGATTTTGTAATATTCTATTGAGCTTTATGGGGTTCAATGGATTGTAATAAAATTTTTATGTTATTGTATGAAATATAAAAAGGTGATGTAACCATCCATTAAACTCTATATAGTTCAATGCATTGAGAGTCCTATGTTAGATTCGAACTCTTTGAACGTGGAATTGGACTAGATTTCCCATTAACAACAAGAGAGATGTTTGTTACATGAAATGTTGTGGGTTAAAACCGATCTCTTGGGTTTTCTCACTTCTATTGAAGGAAAAACCAACAAGTTTTCTTTGTTGATAAAAAAACCCTATGATGTGTGTAGTATTTCTATTTCGTGTTAAAGCGATTAGAAATTACATCAATTTTGTTGAGGCTGATTTAATTTGTTCCTATGGTCTAGTTTGGTATACGAATGTGCTTTCTTGTTGCTTAAGGAATTGAAAAGGAAGAAACTAATGATGGGTTTGTTGGCATGCGAAACATTTAGGGTTTGGAGATGATGGAACAAGAAGGTACGAGGCAACAATTTCCATTCTATAATGAGCTGCAAATGATCTTCACAGGTCGAATGCAAAGGATGCTATGGATGGAAGCAGAAGGCATGGCTGCAGGTGGATCATCAAAGAAGAGAGTGATGCATTTGTCTTCAGATGATGAGGACGACAATAACGATGAGAGTGATGTGGAGAAGGTGATCAGTGGTAACAAGAAAAAAAAGAAGATTTCAAACACCACCACCTCCAAAAGCAATCCCGATAGTATAATGATTAATTTGAAGGAAATATTGGAGGACTTGATGAAGCAACAAATGCAAATAGAAATGCAATGGATGAAGACGTATGAGGCAAAGGAAAAGGAAAGGAGGATGAAGGAGATGGAATGGAGACAAACAATGGAAGCATTGGAGAATGAGAGGATTATGTTTGATCGAAGGTGGCGAGAGAGGGAAGAACAACGAAGGATCAGAGAGGAAAATAGATCAGAGAAACGAGATGCTCTTATAACTGCACTTTTAAATAAGCTTAGACAAGACGATCTATAGGATAAAATTCCGTTTTGTTAAGAGGGAAATTGTGGAAGAGCTTGGATATATTCAAAGGTTAGTTTAATATATCGTTTTAGACGGCTAAGATATATGAAGCTCTTATAAATATTTGTTTTTGTTTCATATGGATTTTTGTTCTGTAATTTACTAGATGTTTTATGTTAGAAAAATTAATGTTGATTAATAACTCACAAAGGCAAAATCTGCTGATACTAGATACATATATGTAGACATATTTAGTCAAATATTCAAATACTACTCTCAATGGCCTTGATATCCAACATAGAAACTTTTAATTTCATATACAATATCAAGAGGTAATTTTCGATGGCATATTCTTGGGAAATATAGCATAGAAAAAAAATCGATAGAATATTCACAAATTTATGAAAGAACTAAATAACTGGCTTTTGACTTTTTAACTTTTCCAACAGATCACTAATGAAATTTGAAGTTTGATCATCTCACAATCTTGGACGTATTTCTGACAGAATGCCTACATATAAACACAATGACAGTTGTAGTGACAATTTATAGGGCAAACGACATAAAAGTCCTTAAGTTTTCAAAAAAATAATATCGGTTTTACCCATTGACGTGTTTTAAGTCCAATAAATCCGGATGTTTTATTTAATTTGTTCACTTATACCCATTTAGCCGGTTTCCAGGTAACCTAACCTGTCGGTTACCTAATATCTGTCGGTTACCTGATATCAGTAAAACCCTTAAATTATCAAAACTGTTAAAATTTACGCTTAAGTTTTCAAAAATGTTCTGATTTACTATTACTTTGATTATTATTATTATTATTATTATTATTATTATTATTATATATATTTAATACGTTTTTAAATGTATAAAATTATTTTATACATATATTTTTAAATACGTTTTTAAATGTATAAAAATATTTTTAAAGCTTTAAAAACTTATTTAAAAGTATATTTACTTGTATTTAGTATTTAAAAATTACTTACTTCTATTTAGTATTTATATACATTTGAAAGCCAATGTACACCTTTAAGAATGTATTTATATATATATATATATATATATATATATATATATATATATATATATATATATATAGAGAGAGAGAGAGAGAGAGAGAGAGAGTAAATTACACGAATAGTCTCTATGGTTTGGGGTAATTTGCGCGTTTGGTCCTAACTTATTTTTTTAACTCGGAAGGTCTTTACTATTTTTTTTACGTGTTTGGTCCATACTGTTTGTTTTGTTACGCGTTTGGTCAATGTCTTACCTAAAAAGACTATTATTTAAATAAAAAAAAAATGGTGGGGTAGGTAAGGTAAGATGAGAGGGGTGTGGTTGGGGTTGTGTTTATTTAAATAAATTAACAAATCAAGGGCAAAATAGTCTTTTCAGGTAAGACAAGGATCAATCGCGTAATAAAAACAAAGTAGGGACCTTCCGAGTTAAAAAAATAAGTTAGAGACCAAACACGCAAATTTCCCTAAACCATAGGGACTATTCGTGTAATTGACTCATATAGATATATATATATATATATATATATATATATATATATAGATATATATATATATATTAGTAGAATATATATATATATATATATATATATATATATATACGTTTATTTGTATAAAAGATATAATTATATGTTCTTGTACATATTACTAAGTATAAATATGTATTATTTCATATAATTATATGTATAAAGTATGTATTTATACATATTTATATGGTAAAATACATATAAAGGAAATATTTTTTTTAATCTTTGGGTGAACCAAAACACAAAAAATATATATAACATAAATAAAAAAATAAAAAAATAAGTTTGTGGTGTTTGCTTACTAACTATAAATATGTGTTTATTTCATATTTACATTTATAGGATAGTTTTTTATATAGATAATATCTATATATATATATATATATATATATATATATATATATATAAATACAATTAATTACAAATAAATATATCTATTAAATACAAATAAAAACATATTTATACATTTAAAAATATTTTTATTTGTATTTACAAAATACAAATATGTATTTATTTTGTACAAAACTGTCGTATACATGCAAATATGAAATAAATGCATATTTATACTTAGTAAGCAAACATCAAAAACTTTTTTTTGTGTATTGGTTGATGAATCGCCCAAAAAATTAAAAAATATTTCGTTTATATGTATTTTACCATATAAATATGTATAGATACATATCGTATACATATAAATATGAAATAAATATATATTTATACTTAGTAATATATACAAAGACATATATTTATTTCTTTTATATAATATAAACTTTATAAATAATTATTTTTATATTTATATGTGTACAATATGTTTTTATATGTAATAAACATATATTTATACCTACTAAATACAAATAAATACAATTTTAATGTATAAATACGCTTTTAAAGGAATACATAAGCTTTCAAATGTATATAAATACTAAATACAAGCATATATATATATATATATATATATATATATATATATATATATATATATATAGTTTTATATATTTAAAAATGTATGTAAAAAATATTTTTATACATTTAAAAATGTATTAAAATATATAATAATAACAATAACAATAACAATAATAATAATAATAATAATGAAAATAATACTAATAATCAAAATAATAATCAAAGGAATAGTATATCCTAACGTTTTTGAAAACTTAAGGGTAAATCCAAACATTTTTGAAAACTTAAGGGATTTACTGGCATTAGGTAACCGGTAGGCTACCTGAAAACCGGCTAAAAGGCTATAGATGAACAAATTAAACAAAACATCTGACTTTACTCGATCTAAAACATGCCAGAGGTTAAAAACGATAATTTTTGAAAACTTAAGGGTTTTTATGTCATTTGCCCCAATTTATAAGATCGAACTTGGTTTTTGTTTAGAGGGAAATGCTCTAAAAGCTTGCACTTAAAGGTTAGTTACATGGAAAATATATATGAATCTTTAACTAATATTGATTTTTACTTCAAACTAGAAATTGTTTTCTCTTAGGTTCATAGGGATGTAGACCGAGAGTCTGCTTATGTCCGTTTTGCGGGGGAGCATAATGTGTAATATTTTTATTATGCAGGGACCATCTTTCTAAATTTTGTGTTAGACAAATGGACTATTTACTGTAAAAAAAATATGCAAAGGGATCTTTTCTGTAAATTATAGGAATAATTTTGTAATTTATTTCATACACAGGGAGCAAACTTGCCAACATACGAAAGTCTTGTTTCCAACCATCTCAAACCCAAAAAAAAATACTATTTAAACACATGTACCAATTCTGCTAAAAAATTGCACATAGACTTTTTTTTTTGGTAAATTATAAGGACAACTTTTATAATTTATTTTCTACACAAGAACCAAACCTGCAACATACGACTTGTGGCCAAAGTTTAAAACTCAAACGTAAAAAAGGGCAAGGATTTTTTCTATAAATTTCAAAGACAACTTTTAAAATTTATTTTCTATACATGGACCAAACCTGTCAACATACGAAACTACCGTGACAACGGCCTAAAATCCAAAACTAGCAAAAACAAAAAAAAAAAAGGCAAAACTATACTATTTATACATGGGTTACTTTTATTATATATAACTAGAAAGGTTACCCCCGCTATGCGGGGGCCAGAAGCTTTCAATATTGTTTCCGAAGTGATAAATATGACAGACATAGAAAGTGCAAGGATGAAAAGTCCGGGTTTTGCCCCGGACAAAAAATATAAAAGTTTTGACTGCAAGGACCAGAAGTGTGAAAATGGCTAAAGAATTAAAGGGGTAGGAATTAGCAAACTTTTAGAAAAGGGATCAAAGTTGTCAAACCGTTAAAGTTTTGTGGCCAAACTTTAAATATTAAAAGGTTCCAAAAAAGTGTAAAAATATTGATTGCAAGGACCAAAAGTGTGAAAATGGGTAAAGAATAATGACCAAAGTTGCCAAAAAACATCCAAATTTAGTAATCCTAACTTCCAACAATAATACAGGGACCAATTCTGCCAAAAAAATGGGAAGTTGAATGGAACACAAACAAAAGGACATGAATAAATTAATTAAAGAAGTACAGGGACCGGATATGTAAATCAAGGGACCAAACCTGGACAAAGTATCCCAACTTTACTATTCCTTTCTTCCACAACTTTAATATATATATAATAATAATGGATTTTGTTTTGTAATTTATTGGAATTGCCGCAAAGGAAAAATATAGCAAAATACAAACGTTAGTTTTTTTTTAAAAAAAAATATATATATAAAATATAAGGGTTTTTAAAACATTTAAACCGAATTAATAATCTGCAAAATCGTTAGTAATAAACACGGTTGATGCTTGAGTTGGACTCGATTCCATTAAACAGATTCGTTGTCTGTTTCCAGACGGATATAGCTACTTGCTTAAAAAAATCGCCAGAAATGGTTGCAAAGAAAAGGAAGAAGATAGTATATTCATGTGTATCCAATGAGGCGATGGAGTTAAAGTTAGAGTAAAACCATATATACGAACTTGTAAGTCTAAAATACATTCATGCTTATAAACTCACTTGAGTATGGTATTTCTACCAATGTGGGGCTCATTCCCACACCCACCTCACTTGCTAACTTTTATTCTCAAATGTCCATATTTGAGTATTGATATCTCATTCACATATACTCCATTTTGGACATACTATTATCGTTTCGAAGCTCTCACAGAAGAGAACACAAACTCACTTAGAGTTAATTATATATACAACATATGTATATATTTATATCTATCCAAAGTTAGTAAAAATATAAATACTTATACTAAAATTTCCAACATTTAACAACCCAATTTTCAAAAGAATTTTTTCATTTTTAAATAGCCATAACACTTTCCATAAACCATAAAATCACAAATACAATTGTTTTCCAATTCATAACAATAACAATATTATTTCAAATCATCAGAGTGTTCCATAAAAGCGTCTGAGAGAGAGAGAGAGTATATCGCGTCATCAAGCATTGCCCTTGCCCTTGGGCTCAGATGTACCTGAAACAAATCCACAAACTGTAAGTTAATGCTTAGTGAGTTCCCAGAGCATACCCCCGCACAATCCACATAATCACATAACCATATTAGCTATAAAAGCTACATAACCACATAAGTCATGCATATAACATATAGGGATGTCGTGGGCTCGTCCCCAGGATCTTACTCCAAGATGCCATGGGCTCC